CGCACCGTCGCACCGTCGCGTCGTCGAGAAAGTCGCGATTCCACTCGGCATTAACGAAGTTGCAGCGAACACATCGGATGCGTGGTAACGATCTCACGGCACCATGAAATAACGAACCGCGTGTGCATGCTACCGGTAATTCCATTCCGTTTAAACCGTACTGTGATTAAACGTTACCGTTTCGATGCAAAGAGGATAAAGATAGACTATCGGGCAAAGCTACGACGAGCGGTTAATCTCCAACGTGCATCTCGCGACCGATCGCATTCGCGTGTCTGAATTTCGTGTCTCTGGCTACTAGCTTCCATCTATCCGCGCGCGATAATACCTCGCTAAAAAGCAACTAGTTTCGCGTGCGATCGCACATCGATGGCTGCTTAACAACCTGTCTACCACTTTGATCCCTTCAAATCTAGAACGTTGCGCACGGTACGCGTTAAACTCGCGATCGAATCCATCTCTTATCCCGTCGATCCATCGATCCAAGTAGACGAGATAAACGCAAAAGCGAAACGAAGGAGCAGTGTTTTACGACTGGCATTCCTCCAAATGAGAGATTTTAACGAAAAGTACGGCAGACTAAAGACATTGGCGTACATCGCATCTTGGCACAATCCGTTCCGAGTTTTCGTTACTTCGCCCGGGTATTTCGACGATATCGCTACCTTAATTTTACGGTTCGTTTAAAAACCGACTTTGTTCGATGCACTTGCATTGTCCATGTTGCCCTTCGCTTGCCGTTTTAAACTCGTTGAAAGAGGAAACGACGCGTAGGAAAAAATTAATAAAGTTGCGCCAGAGATCGAAAAACGAAATATCTGAATTGCCTGTTAAGCCGGCAATTTAAGCCCGATGAAACCGAACCCAACCAAGAATACACTCTCATTGGATCCGTGCTAAATTATGTTCCACAATGGCGTTCAACCTCTTCCTACTTGATACACCGTACGCTCGAGGACACGCAATCATTAGAAATTACAAATTAGCGAGTAATGAAGCGAGAAATAATGCTGTTGCGAGTCTGTCCGTGTACGATGTACATTCTATTTACGTATTCGCTGTAAAAACTTCCGTGATTAATGTTTCAGAGGAAATTACAGTTAGGATAATAGGATAGCTTCCGACGTGATAGGTAGTTGGCGCAAACGAAGCTGCGCGTATCTAATATATCATGTCGCTAATTAGATACATTGTTATCGTTATACGCGGTCGAGCCATTGATCGCGAATCATTAAAAAAAAAACAACACATCCAGGGGTTATTTAAATTACAAAATTAATATTCATACGCGCGAATTTTATGGGGTTTTTATGCGCGCTGCTAAATGCGACGGTGGAGCCATCTGCCGTTCGTGGAAAGTAAACTGTCCGAGAAAAGCATATACCGTTTGAGCTTCCAAATGAATCTCCATTGATAATCGACGCAGTTGAGTATATTTTTTTCTCAAGCAAAAAGCCGATAACTTTTATCGCTTATACTTTACCGTCGACTAAATATCTCGCCGGTGACTTTATCGCGATTTTATTACTAAACGCAGGATAGACCTGACATCGAATAGCAGTCCGTGTCTCATTGGTTCTGAAATACCGACCTTGAAAAAATCAGAGTGTTTTACACGCCCTCTACGATTTATAACGTTGCGTCGCGACCATTGTAATTACGTATATCAAAGAGCAGAGATACAACTCCGTTAAATAAACTTCATCGAATTCATTTATTCGAACGTGAAATATCACTGTATGAACTAGAAATCGCAAGTACATAGTAAAGACTATGTACCGAGGCTATGTAAAAGTCTAAAGCTGTTTACGAACGCTAACTATATGAAAATTTACAATTTAGAAGAAAAAGGGATGGGATATTATACGTGTACGATATTTTACGGGATAATATGTCTTCTTTCGTTGGTTTCCCAATGGTATCCGAAACACACTCAAACCGCGAAAAATTTTCAAAAATTCTACCACGTACAGTTTTAATTCACAGCAGATAAAGCCGGAAATCGTTTCGTGATTATTAGCTCGTCTTTATTAGCAGGTAACGACCATTACAATTTAACGACAAAATTAATTGATAATTGACTCAAAGTTAAATGTTAATGCAAACAACCTCAGACAATCCCTTCGTCAAAGCACATTGTCGAAAGTGCGAAAGCAACGTTCAAAACTTGTTGCTTCGGTTCCAAAATTTGCCTGTCGCGAAATTTCTTCTTGCACATAAAATTTCATACATTTTTGTACGGCGGAATTGAACTTTAATATCTCTATATGTATATTTTAAATTAATACTCAAATTGAAAAATGAATGGCAAACAATTAAGTCCACTGAAACAATGCCATCGGAGAACAGAAGCTGTTGCAATTTCTTTTTGTGAATATATATTTTTAATACGAATTCCGAATTTACGAACACACCTTCGATCACAAATATTCAAATTAATCGTTAATATAATATCGTTTTTACCAGTTGATATCATTACCAATATTCTTAATACAAAATTTGTTAATTTCATGTAATTAATATAAAAGAAAAAAAACGCGACGTGCAAGAAGACCTATCCTGAACTAATAAATAATACACAGGAAAAGAAAATGTTGCTACTCACAAGTATAGTAAATACCCGCGGTTACTATGCTCGCAAAAAATTCTACGTAATACAACCAGTCACCCGTGTCGATTCGGACCTTTCGTCCTACGACATGATTGAGTGACCGGAGGAACAAAAATGCATGCGACTCACGATAAGATGCGAGGAACGTAGTCATCGATGCTGTGATAGCCCAGGGGAAATCGTCGTGAAGACCGCCATCGAGGAGGAGCCATGCAATTCCATCATGGAAAAAACTGTAACAATGCATGGAATATCATGATTTACTCTTAAATATGACGTTAATTAATTGGAAAATTTGAAGTAGCGTAAGATTAATCTCTATTAAAATTTCAATGACGATATTTAAATCCGGAATAGCAAATTGAAATACAAGGACTACAATTAAACAAAGTACAGATTACAAAATTACTTACATTCTTAGCTTTTGAAGCCCCACTTGGTCCCTTTTAGGAAACAGGAGACAGAGAAAGGAACGATAAACCTTTAACAAAATATGACTTATTATACATATATAAATAATATATCCGCGAATAAAATATTTTCAGAACTAAGTGACGATTGACCGAAAAACTTGAGATAACGTAATATGAAACTCTATGAAAACTTTGAACTTTAATAATAATAGAATGATTAAATTGATAGTAAACTCTAATTACTTCAACAATTCAAACTCTGACATTAAATTTTTAAGTCAAACTTGTTTTTTCATACTAAATTATTCAAGTAGAATAATCAAAGGAATAAAATTAATTGGAATGCGATATGCAAAGATTCTTACATGCTTAGTTTCGAAGCATCGCTGCGTCCTTTCCGAAGCACAAGAAAAAGCAGAAGTTACGAAAAACTGAAACAAAACGTGTGAAACATTATAATTTGTTCTTACAAATATATCCTTCATTGTTTAAGGAGTTTAAGCTAATGAGAAATAAAACTCTACTCAAAATTTCTAAACTCTAATCTCCGTTCGAAATTTTAATAATAACAAAAATTGAAATCCTGTTAAAATCCAATTACTATAAAAATAGGAACGCTAAAGTAACAATTTTTAACCTAGGAATGTTGATAACCTAATCGTTTGCGAAGCATGGTAAATGCGGCGTCCATTTCGTATCAGTTCGAATTATCGATTATTAATCGTCTATGGCGTCTGTGATGTGAACCCCTATTCTTTCAGTCCCGTGACCGGCCAATAACCTATACAAAAGAAAACCAAAGCAATCTCAAATAAATGTATAACAAAATCAATACAATTTACAATAACAGAACAAATTATAGTGAGATAAAGCAATAATAAAATCCAAAATCTGCCTCAAAGCACGGTAATGTGATAATTTTATCGATAATTTTAACTATCAGAAATACAGCCAAGAATAAATGTATAATAAACCAATAATTTACAATATTAAGGCTAGTTATAACGGAATAAAGTAATAATAAGGCCCAAATTCTGGCTTCAAGACCGGTAATATAGGCTATCGTTGACTGTAACCTGTCAAATACGCGATCAACGATGAAAGTAAAAGAAGATTTCGGATACTACTTAATTTTACTAAAATTATTATCAATAAGCGGTTAAATACGAACGTACTATTTGTATGAAGCAGATAGAAGTGTAGAAATGTTGATAAAGTCGAAATGGAAGTACTTATAAGGACAGAGTAACGCTCGACGAGACAAATTTTCGCTCCAAACACTTTCAAGAGTACGTCACCCCGCGACACGTTTCTCCGCGAAACTACGACTTCCCAATATTTCGCACCAATAGGAACGCTCGATTCGAAGTGACAATATATTGCGCCAATAGAAACGCACAATTTCATTTGACAATATTCTGCGCCAATAGCCACGCTCGATTTGACTTCGCGATACATTGCGCAAATAGGAGCGCACAATTTTCGTATATACAAGCGCGCGCAAACTTGGTGTATTCAAACAGTGAAATTGATGAAATTGAGGAATAGGAAATAAGATTATGTTCTTAATGAAAAGCTTTTATCTGTTACACGAGTAAAGTTGTTATTATTACATAAAATGTGGTATGTTACTACTTATTATTACATGAAAATCGGGAAAATTGTTCTATCTTGCTTTATAAGTGTCTTTATTAAAGACAAATGTAATCCTTAAAAATTGTTAATAATTAGTAGTTTAGAATAGTCCTGGAGAATCGATAGCGAAACTGTCATAAAAAGAGAAACTTCTTTAATTGAAAATAATTTATCATTGTTTACTTTGCTATTAATCGATGTTTAGGTCATAAAATTTGTATTTTATAATACAAGAGAGAAATTTCTACTATTGCCTTATACGTGTCATCGTTTAAAAATATAGTAAACGAATAATTTCTCTTTCTTAGGCAACTTACAACTAGCTTCGTTATTGCATGATTTCGTCATTCTTATGCTTGTCTATCTCGGATAGAATAGTAGATCTGAACTTTTCCATAGAATTGTACAATTAAATACGTTCTTGTCTATATCAATGTGTAACCATACAGGACAGATCCCTAATTTTATAGGTTCTTGTACATGCTAATGTCAATTGAACTCAGCACTTGACCGCATGGTGCAGCACCTGTACCTTGAAACAACTAGATCTACGGGCGTGAGCATTCTCATTTCCTTTCCGATGGAAGCATTAAAAAGAGAAAAAATTGAGAATCAATGATCTTTTTATTGCTAACGATATTGTCATTATCGACAACGGTAATGTTCAACATCTATATAAATCTCTACGGTTTTTGAAGCTTACGTTATTACATGCTGATATCGAATATTCCACGAGAATTACAAAATATTAAGCTATATTTTCAAATAAAGATATAGACAGTCGAATAATATCAATCTATATTTAAATAAATAATTGTATCCTATAGCATATTACAAAATCATAGTCTAACCGTATTTCCTATTCAAATTCATTTGAAATTCAATCACCGACATTATCCCATTATATTTTCAAAAATGCAAATGATATTCGTTGTATTAATGAATTATTTATCCCGCGTAATACGTAACAATAAATTTATAACGTCGTTCGAACATTATGATGTCAATTAAGAACACATTAAATATATGTACTTACTACATCGAAATTTTGAACTGTAGCGAAATAGATCGACATTACGCAGGAAATCGTTCAACTTGACCATTTACTGGCGATGAAACACGATCCAATAAGCCGCCAATTCGTAATTTCACAAATACAGAAAGTACGAAATAAACAGAAACGTTACTCTTGTTTGGCGCCATTTTGCGAAAACATACGAATAAAATTTCAATCTACAGTAGCATACTACAGGCTTTATTTTGTCGTTGCACCTCAATTTATTAACGACTTTCTTAGAAATACATGGAATAGGATAACTACGAACAAAGGGACAATAAAATATCGCTGAATTTATCGGTAGACGAAACGTTAGAAAAATTTTCCCAAAATTTGTCCGACGCGTACAGTTAGGCGATTGGAATCGTAGATACGGTAGTGAAGACGATGGACGCGCCTGCGCATTGTCGCGCTCGCTTGCCACTACAATGTCGGACGTCGAGCGTTCGGTAGTAAGACGGTCTCTTGCGTTTTTCGCGATTTCCTAAGTGAAATTTCGCGGCCGTGTCGTTTCTATTCGTAACCGATATTATAATATGATCGTGTAACCGATCGTCTACGACGAACCGCCGTTAGAAGCATCGTAGCTTGTGCCAGTCGGAAAGATGGGTGAGTAAAAGGCGGAAACCAAGTGGTGAATGCCGGCTAGCTTTTCTCTCTCTCCGCGGCTTCGCTATTCTCGGCGAACGTGTGTGCGTGGCTCGTGTGCTTCCCGTTGCCAAAGAGTTGGAAACCGTGTGCGTGCGGGGTACGCCCCTGCATCGTGCGGTTTCCTTCTGATTTTCACGGTCTTTTCCTCGTGATGAAGACGTCGAATGTTTTCTGAAAGGATCGTATCTCTAAACTCACTCGGGGGGCTATAAATAGGTGGATCCATCGGTTTGACGTTTCCTAGGGTGAGCCCCCCCTCCGACGTTTGTACCTCCACCGACTGTTTCTCCTGTTCATTTTGTTTTCCCGCTATTTGAGAGTGACCTGCATTCTCGAGTGGTGCTGGCTCGTATCCGATCTTCATCTAGGGTTGCCACCTTTACAGCGATTTTCACGGGAAAGTCCACTTCTCTTTTCTCCTAGTCACGCTTTTTTCCACGAGCTTCATTGATTTAACAGAGGCAGAAAAACAAAGTAACGCATCGCGTGCTATTCAGCCTTTTCAACGTGCCATAACTGTTGCGTAATCCCGCGCGTTTAGAATACAAATGTTAATTTCTACAATCCCCGGTCTCTTCGACGCCCAATATACACGAGAGTTTCTCGCAAAATACATGGAATTGTTTCAAGGAAATAATCTATAGCGTCGTTGGTTCGCATAAGACTTTTCGACTCTGCTATTGTCGTGAATCTAGCATATATATATAATAGGCAAGTGGAGATTGTTTTTTTCCAAACGACATAAAAGCATTCTTTTCGTTGATCGTCTGAAGCGTAAAATATGGACTCGAGTCGAATTCTGTCCGTAGTCCGTGTGCGCGTAGCAGCTATTGCAGGACAGAATCTGAGGACGCCACGCTCGTAAATTTGCTCACGCAATTATGCGTTCTACCCACGCAACCGTACCTCGCACGATGTGCCGTGTGTGCGCTTCAATGCCTATGCAACGTCGAGAGGAGTAACGACGTACTGCAACGCGAATTTCACGAGCTACAGTACTGCATTCTGCGACAAAGGCTACGCTACTGCCCATTATTTTTTTCTCGTCTTTCATTTTACTTCGATGCTACTCTATTCGGTTTCACTTTCTCGATATATTTAAATACACTGATTTCAATTTATTCGATCGTCTACTACGTAAACGGGTCAACGAGAGGGAGGCTTATCGTTCGTTAAACATCGAATTGAATATCAATCCTGCACATACGAGACAAATATAGCGGCGCGCTTAATGAATCGTCCCGCTTTTTCTAAAGTAATATGTAGCGTGGCGTCGTGCGCGTCCATTGCCTTTAAATATTGACTTTCCTCGAGTATAATCGCCATATTATCTGTGCCGCAGGAAATTACACTCGCCATTAACGTGCTTAAATTTTGTCGCATACTTGGCATATTTCGACGTCGTTACGTAGCTATCTTTATCGCGTACTATATATCCTACGTATAGCGCACCGTCGAGAATATAGCGTATAATTAGAAATAATTCACGTTCAGATCGATGTTCGTATGGAACGACTTGGGTCGATCACCCTGAATTAGTCGGTCCTTTTCGCAGAAATCGAGCTACGTTTCATCTCGCGCCTATTCCAACCAAGTTTTAAATAATACGCCGATCCACGAGTAGTATTGATTTTTCTTTTCTTTCGCGTCCCTTGTATATTGACATACATTTGGTACAAGGGTCCTATCCGTGGAGAATGTCGTTAACTCCGTTGCCGGCTTTCGGTGAAACTGCAAGCGCTGCAGATCGATACCCGCCCCCTCGTGCCCGATTCACGCTGCGCCAGTAACCGGAAGGGACAATCCCGTCGAGCGAAATGCATCGAAATTGGCGTGGTCGTGCACCCTTTTTAACGCAAGCGGTACACGCTGTGCATACGGTGGATCTTGCACGAACGACCACTGAAAATCTGAATGCGTCAGAACCGTGGTGCCACGTGGAGTCGCGCAACTCTTGGAATCTTATCGCGGGACCGTAATAAACGGTAAATAATCGACGAGGAAGTGGTTAAACGCGAACAAGTTGATCGAAACTACGGAATTAAGCCGTTTTTATACCGAGATTACGTTCTTGTTGAGAAACCTGATTCGAGCAAGTATGGCTGCAACAATGTTTCTATCCGAAGAAAGAGACAGATCTTTGCCGCTGCGGTTACGCGAGTTACGTGTCGGGTGCGTTCGAGGGAATCTAATTTATACAGGGTGACCCGATTTTAACGATTCCCATAAATCCTGTAGATAGTTTAGGAATTGCGAATAAAAGGAAAGCAACGTCTTAGGAAATGTAGTATCTCGCCAGGCTTTGTCCTCGGGCTTTGTTCCAACAGAAAGTCGGAGATTCAAAAGGATTTCATCTACCTCGGATAAAGGGCATTCACCCAAATCGATATTCTACCTACCTCTAGTCGTATTCCGGAAAGGTTACTGGTAGGTGGAGGTCCTTCGAGGAAGTCACCGGAGTGGATATAACGTAACTCCTTGATTACACAAGCCGTGAATTGCGACGAGATATTGTTTATTATCCCATAAGCAGATACGGTTACGTCTGAATATTAATTCGTCACGTTCGTCTGCGATTCTCCTTGTTGCCCACGGGCAAGTTGTAGGAAAAAATACGTGTTCTTTTTCTACAAGCATCTATATATTATGCTGTATTAAAATTTCGCGCTAAATTCCTAGAGTATATATTTCCTCTTTATCGAGAAGTCGCTAATAACCGTTGCAAGCTACTAGAATCTCCGACACGAGCAAAATCGATGTTAAATGTCAGGGCACACGGCCGAGGCTAGCTGGAAGCAACCGTTGAAAAAGCAGGAGAAAGCAGGAGTGTATACGTCGAAGCGAGAACAAACGAAAGTTGTCTTCCGAAGCTCGATTCTCTACTCTCGCTGCATCGATCGATTAAAGATGCCGATTAAAATGTATAAATTCGTAATACGTGTATTCGAATAGATACGTGCATTTTTAAGCCGCGGCTTGATCAACCGGTCGAATTGCGAACAAATCGAGAAAAATAGTTTATCGCGTACGAACGAGCTACGAACCAGTTAGCACGAGATGCGAATGCTGCTCGGTTTGCGGATGGTTAACGCGTATCGAATTCGCGAAACGCGGAAAGAAAGAAAATCACGCGAGTCTCTGACTTGCTATTTAATTGTCTTATCGTGGAAACGAGTTGAGCGTGACAAAATGGTAACGCACGAAGGACTTAAGTCTTCTTAAACGGATTGACGTTTTTTACGCTCTTCTATACGATCTTCTCGCGCGTTGTTTAGCCTGTTGAAAGCATTATAAAGTCGATGAGATAACGGAGACGTTATTGAGTAGAGACTTCCGACGTCTCGCTTTTTCGCGAAGACAAGTGCACGCGCGATAACGTATCGAACGACGATCAGAGTTACGAATGGAAAAAATGATGGCGGTGTAAGGACGGTCGTCGGAAGCGCGGTCTTTCGATAACGACTGGACACCAGGTAAGAAAGGAGGTTTAAAAAGCCGCTACGCGACTCGGTCACGCAGGTATCGACACTCGACGCGCATCACGCTCTGCCGTCTTATTTTTCTCTCTCGTTTCGCGTTTCTTCGATTCGTTGCACGATACCAGTCGTCACGCATTCCTGATCCGCGCCCTGATCGATCACGCCCCGCTCATCTTTCATCCACGCGCTTCGTTCTTTCTCTCTCTTTTTACTCTATTAACAGAATCGTTGTACGTTCAAGGCGTTTGTCTCCTCGCGAAAATTCCTTAGATCTGTCATTATGTTATAGTTACATGTATATCGTTACGTATATTACAGATTCGTAGACGATTCAAAAGGCGACAGAGAGAATTTTCTAAGCGTAGTTTGAAATTCACGGTATATGAATATAGACAGGTAGTATCCTCCCACCTTTCATAACGGTCCTTGTTACGTCCGGTGACTCTTTATATAAACCAGAATCCATCCCTCGGTCAAGACTGCAATCAGCCTTGCAAATAGAATTAGTCCGTCATAATCTTAAGAAACTGTCATAAAAGTAAGAGCTTCTACTTTACTATCGATGCCCTTAAGTACTATACAAACATCTTCGAGTCGAAACGTTCCTCAGGATTATCGTTCGATCAGGTAGAAAATGGGGAAAGCAGGTTTTTGGGATAGCCAACACAACCCTATTGCATTTTCATCTTTTGACCTGTCGCTATCTCCGTTGGTTTTCCGTTCATTGATCGGTCATCGTCCTAACTTGTTACCTGCACTTCGCTGAGAATACATCTACACGCACCACGCCTAACAACTTATATCTACGGGGTTGTTAAAATAAACTGTATATTTTAATCTGTTAACTGAGTGTTATCGTGAATTCAATCGCCTGTATTGTCCTAACCGAAATAGGCGATCGACCGAATCGTGGCGAACAGTCTCGTTGCATCGAGACACCCTGTATTTATGTATCGCTCTATAAATGAATGTACAGTGTACACGCGTGGCGCGTGCGGGAACGTACACAGGTGTTCGATGACTATAATCAAGCATCGCAAGCTGTTTCAGTTTACAAGCGAAACGTACTTCGTCGTCGAAGTACCGAACCTTTTCTTTTATGACTAATCCGTTAATTTTAATCGTTTGAACGATCGATGAACGTAGTGCGTCGAACGATCGTCGTCGAATATAGAACGCAAAAATCGAAAAAGACATTTAACGGATATATGTACATCTAAATCCTGTATTTCCAATCGTCATTGCGTAAATTTTATATTTGATCGCGAGGTATTTATTAATAACGTGTATACGTGCCTGTAACGCATACCAGTACTATCTGAAAGCAGATAAGCCCCGGTCGGTATAGAATTCCCTCTTGTTGCATATACATCTGGTAATGTAATAACACGGTCGCGTAATTGATTTCGAGATAAAACACGGTCGTATCGTGCGCGAGCTATGGCCAGCTATTCGGATCTCGTTTTCATCCTTGATCGAGTTTCTTCTCCAAAATGGAGATCCATCGACCGAAAGGTTAAAAATTGGGCCCATCAAAGCGACCGAATTATCGTGGAATTTCGTTCGTCTTAACCAACTATCGAGAATCCACAACTTTATCGTCTGACAATGAACATTCGTCGTGTATGGCAGCTGATTGCCGATGGTCGAAATTGCACGTACAAGTTTCTGCTTGTTTTTCTCGGCAAAGAAGGGTAAATAGAAATTTATGCAAGCTCTCTTGCGTGTTCGTTCGTTGGTCCTCGACCTAATGACACCGCTCCCCGCGCCGCCCGTATAGTTCTGTCGTTACCATACGTGACTCGATGCTGCAAATAGTACCGAGAAACGTGAATGAGAACTGCAAAGTAAGATTATCATATTTTCCAGTCCTACCGTTAATTATTTCAAGAGGACGCGACGCTGGTTATTATTCCGCTGCTATGCTAGCACGTAGGATTTCTTTTCCCTGATACGCCGCGTATTTTGATGACCCTCGCATGTAGACATCGTGTAGACTCGTTGCTTCCTCGGCAGTCGAAAAGGCGATTAGGATTGCCACGCTCTTTTTAAGCGTTTGATCACAGCGTCGTCGTAATCGTATCCGTTATCCTCGTTTACCCCTTAAACGCGATAATTGCCCACCCGTACATGGAGCTATGGCAAGTTATTTTAAGGAAAAAAACGAAATAGCGACGCGCGATGCAAGATACTCCGGTTTTGAAATAATCCGCGAGGTATCGCCCGATTAAATATACCTGCACGCTGACTGGAAACAGCTCGCGTTCCATTAATAAGCCTTCCATTGCAAATAATCAGCGCTTTGGTGCTCGCGGATGATTTTACATTTCGTACTTCCGCCGCTATGCGATATCGAATGTTATTTCGTAGCATCTACTTAAGGCAATACGAACAGAGGCATCCGATCCTCCGTTAAAAGGGATCTTTGCTTTTAAATCATTTTCTTAGAAACGCGTCGACAGGCAAGAAAGACAAGAAACATGGAAACACCACCGAATTACGTAACAGTCGCCAGGTTTCGTCGGTCTTCGAGCGCAAAGACTTCCATTTACGGCTGGACGCACGAATTAATCGTGGCGAGATGGACGCGTCGATACACAGATATTTTCGGCGTGGATCGAGCAGCCGAGATCGTCGATGTGCACGCGTGCAATCACGGCGGAGGGACGGCCGTGAAAAGTAAACGTCAGTCTTGCCGCAGTCGGTTGACAATCGGAACTCGACGCACGAATCTCAGC